GTCTGTCTGTCTGGGGAGCCCACACGCCCTATAGTAAAAAAAAAAAAAAAAAAAACTCTCCAAAAAAAAAATCTTTGTTTTGGGACCAGCATTTAGCGTAATGGCTATGTCACTGGACTCCCACATAGTCGACTGCAGTTCGCGTCCTGGACCCGGTGGCTTAAAACTCAAGCCAGGCGTGCGTGCGCGCGTGCGTGCACGCGCGCTCAAGATCCCGAGAGGAGAATGGAGAAGGGATTGCGGCGTGGCCATCCCCCCTGGGTGGTGATTTCTTGCTTTCTGTCTCACTGTTTCTCTCTGTCTGGTGAGTGCATGCACCCTATAGCAAAAACCTCTAAAAAAAAATCTTTCTCCCCCTCCTTTTATTAATACTGGGGCAGGGGGTGGGGCTGGGGAGAGAGCGAGCACTGGCAGGACATGGTCATGCCACAGTCTCTTCCATTTCTCCACCCTGTCAGGATTTGGGGTGCATACATACAATGTGTTTCTCAAGCTGCTAGGGCCGGGACCTGAACCATGTAGGATCTGGCTTCCCTTAACCACTAGGCTATCTGGCCAGCCCACTTCTTTTTTTTTTTTTTTTTTTTTTTTTGGGCCAGATAGCATGCATACCAGAGAGAGAGATGAAGAGAGAAGATGCCATCCGATGGGACCTGACGACACTGCAATCCCTTCTTTTCCTTCCTATCAGTAGATTCTTGGGCATGTGCACACATGCACCCAGGTTTTCAAGCTACTGGACTGGAATTTGGGATTCACCTCTCACCATCCAGTGCTTAACCTCTGTGCTACAAGTGATCCCTGCAAATCCTGCAAATAGTTTTTGTAGTTTTTTTTTTCTTCATAGACTTGTCTACTTGGCTGTAAATTCCCAGGAACTAGAGCTGCCTGGTACCTTGTAGACCCTTGGCAGATATTTGAGGAATGCATGAGCTTATCACCTGAGCTCTTCCTTATCAATAGCTATTTATCACAGCCTATCTTGAGACAATCGCCACAGACAGGGTGCCTTCATGAATGGGCCCAGGAATGGTACTAGTTACAATTGCTACCTTTTGCTTTTTTTTTTTTTTTTTTTTTTTAATTTTGCCATCGGGGGTGTGTGCTTACTGGGAGAGAGAGAGAGAGGTAAAGAAAAGGTGAGAGATCACTCCGCAGGGATGAACCTGCTGCAATCCCCTCTCCTCTGTTCTCCGTTTGGGATTTTTGGGCACATTGCACACATGCCCAGAGTGTTTCTCAAGCCGCTGGGTCTGGGACTTGAACCATGCTGTTGACCACGTGGAGTCCAGCTGCCTTAATCTCCATGCCGCCTGCTGTCCCTACCATTTGACTTTTATGTGGATTGTTTTACTCAGCTCCTCAGTTAACTATGGTGTGTTACTGTCCCCATGTCTCAGATTATACAACTGAGGCCCGGAGAAAGTGAGGAAAACTTGTCCAGGGCCTTAGGTCATAAACACCAGAGCTTGCAGCCTCCTTTCTCCTGCACCCTGACTTCCTGCCTGCCCTCCTCTCTGTTGACAGTGTCTTCCATGCCCTTGATTCTGTTTTTGTGAACTTTCTTTGGAAACTTCTACGTAAGTGTAATAAATAAAAGAGCTAGCCCAGACATACAGTAGGCCTGTAACAAATGTTACTTTCTGTCCCTTGTCTTCATACCAGACCCAGAGATG